TGCGAGATTTGCTTGAAACATACATCTGTAATCAAAAAGTACGATCAGACTGAACGACTTTCTTCTAATTGTGAGAAAGACACTCATTTCATAGACCTTGGGTGAAAGTTGCATCAGACTTCCTTCTCACTAACGATTTATCATGACTGGTTGTGAACGATACCGTTCAGCAGGACAAGGAGTATTCTATAAGTCATGGCATTCTCGTTTGAGTCTTACTCAAAAGTTGAAGAAATGAGCAAGTTCGAAATGGATTAGAAGGTCATAAGACCTTAAGAGTGCTCTTTGTCCTGTTGATCCCAACCAGTTATGATAAATCGTTAGTGAGAAGGAAGTCTGATGCAACTTTCACCCAAGGTCTATGAAATGAGTGTCTTTCTCACAATTAGAAGAAAGTCGTTCAGTCTGATCGTACTTTTCGCTTTTTGATTACAAATGTATGTTTCAAGCAAATCTCGCATCAGTCGATAGTAAAATGTTCAAACTATTTACCATATTTTCATTCTACCTTGAAAAGTTTACGATTTATCAATAAATAAGTACAACGAAGTTTTCTGAAGTAAATGATTTCCCCAACTGACTCTGAAGAAATACTTTGTTCAACGGTCGCGAGCAGCATTTATTAGATCGAGTAGGGTTTTGAATTTGTAGGCCGTGGTGGAATTGCGTTGGTATAATGTGCCTATAGATCATTTTGTTTTAAAAAACCACTTGGTGTTCAATAAGATTTCAAGATCACTAGAGTTCATTAGATGACAAAATTTCCTTTACCACCACGGATCTCGCACACGTTAGAAGTAATCTTGGTAAATACAAGACCAATCTTAATCAAATTTCGCGAGAATATTGGTCTTATCAAAGTATAGCTACGATAAGGTTTTCGTTGCTAGCATTTATATTCGAACTTTTGTTTTATATCTGTAATAAACATTTTTTCACAAAACCCGAAAAACTTCTTTCAAGTTTTTCAGAAAACTTTTATTACTGAAAAGTAAAAGGTTGGTTCTGATGTTATAGCACTAACTTCACTAACTAACTTCTTTTCAAAATACGACTATCCAGAGCGTCGTAGCATTCTTGTGAGACGACAAATATGAGAAATGCTGAAAACTACGAAGACAAAAGTCAGTTTCGAAGAAAACGAGAAACAAGTTTAGCTTTTATAAAATACGTTGTCTGGTCAAACTAGTTGATATAGAAAACAGCCACTGATATTTGGTCGGAGGTTATTGACTATGCTGAATCGAATGAACATGTACAGAGACATGTCACATGTGCAGCACATTCTTTGAAACATGTATAATTAGAACTGAGCAGTTTAAATGTTAGTTTTTTCACAGGACATCAAAAAACTTGCTAGAATACACTGCTATGGAGATAACAATGCAGTTGAATAGAGCAAACTTTCCTCTATTTAGTGATATGTTTTTCGTAAAATCAACAGCTTTTACGGGTGCGGGAGGCTTACGACTAGAAACAAAAGTCGAACAGTTGGAACTATTTCCCTGTATGAGAAGAGTTCATAAGAGTGAAAGTAAAAAAAGAACTTAGCCCTTCTTATCGCTGTTTTTCCCTAAGTAACGTCTACATGAAGAACGTCTACGCGAGACCAAATTCTCGATGTCATATGTTCTCCAGATTATACTCAAAGCACAAATATGTCTGGGGAGTCTGACTGTTTTACACCTTGAACGCTGGTTTTTTCAGATACATTATTCAGACACTAAAGTCACTGATCCAAGCAGTAGTGTCATAAGTCTTTCATTTCTTCTCGTCCTTCGCTCAGTTTTCAATTTCAACTAAACAAATGTACTTAATACATTGATAAAAAATCAATGATCTTTTTCTTTATCCTTTTCAAGTTTCTAAAATGATTCTCTATTAACCATGACTTGCGAAATGATAATTTTTTTCTTCACTCACCGTATAATTAAAGCAAAAACATACCACATGAACTTTGGATTTTTAGATATTATATGCTTGACACGCCAAAGCGTTGTACAAGAAAAGGTGCGAAAGAGATTCAAAAATGATATAGAATCCAGGTATAACTGAGACATAGAGAAATGTCAAAAAATCATCTTAAATGTAAACATCAATGAACTATCTTTAACATGAAAAACTATCTTCGTCGTAGTACAAATAAACACACTATATAAAAGTTTTATATACAATTTAAAAATAATCGTCTTTTAAAATCAAAAATAGTCGCTTGTAAAATGTAGAGTACATAAATGACTAGTTAAGATAAATATTTACATGCACGAAACAAACAGGAAGGGACCAAAAGTTACGATAGTTATTTGTTCAGTGCTTTCTTCTGTGTTTTAAGATTGTTTGATGATTATAGGAGTTTTGATATGTCTTGTTGTCATCAGAATTCGTACCAGAGGTACTATCACTAAAACTTTGTGAATTACTGTTACTTTTTCGATTATTCCATAAATGTGTTGTTTGATTTTTACTCGTACTATTATTCGAACCACTACCCACTGATATTTTATGGTTCAATCTATTTGTCGTATTTTTTTTCAATTTATAATCGTTTACGGTTGACGGATGTTGATCATAATTTGTTTCCATATAACCGAGTTCCATCAAGTCAGTTGGGTCATCCTCTTGATCAGTTAAATGACGGGACTGATTATGCTCATATTCATCGTTCGATGATAATGACTCGGATGTGTCATAGTGTGATGGTTTGTCGTTAACGTTCAGACTATTAGGAGCTTGATCCGATTCTTCTTCGTTATTAAAGTCGCGATCATCGTCTGTTGTCTCACTTGTATCAGATTCATCGGACTCTTCATCTTCAATATCCTCGATGTGCGGCTTAAAAGGACCGAAAAGAGAATGTAATGTAAAATAAGTAGTACATAAACAAGAAAAATGCCTTTTTCTTCACTACTTTTCAAGCTAGATATCATTGTATTTCAAAAATTGCAAGCTAAATCTCTTGTATCCTACCAATTTTTTTTTAGATGCTTTATTTAGTGTTGAATTTAATTTCGTTTTCGCTAATGCTGATTGAGCCATTGGCTAAAAGTTTAAAAAAAGGAATATGCCAGAATAACTAAATTTTGAATGACTACAATATAATTATATGCATACTGGTTGGTTTTGATTTACTGTTGTTGCTGAATTATTTGTCAACTGACCGACTCTATCTGATGCCGTTTGCAATACATTTAATACCTGACACATTTGACTTTCTGTTGCTTCTAAACGCGATTGAAGTTGAGTAATTTCATCGCCATCTAAACAAAAACTCATTATAAGAATTATTATTCGGTTTTAACGTTTACAATAGTCTGATGTAATTGATTCTAATTGGAATTACAAAATGTGAATTATATTTTTCTGGCATAAACATCAGGGACCGAATCCAATTCGGATCAAATGAGTTTGACCCGATCCCGATTCGATCCGAACGGTTTGTGATCCAACCTGAAACTAAACCAAAAATGCTTTTCCCGAACGCGAACGAACCTCGAAAAAATTTTTTCGCATCCAAAAAAAGGGGTGTAACTTTAGATTTTTCGCAGAAAAACGCATGAAAAATCAAAAATTTTTCTGGTAACCTGATCGGGATCCGAAATATTTTTTTATTTAATCCGAATGCGACTTGATCCGACCCGATGTGCTTCGGCCTCTGATAAACATTCTCTTTCCACAATCAATAATAGAATAAAACTTTATTATTTGTGGATAGCCCTGACGTCTTACGCACAAAAAGTATTGAAGTATACCAGTAGAAAATAGTCAAAATATCAAAAATAAAAAAAAAATTACCCAACGAGCCTGTTTTTTGTTTTGTCATTAATTTTGAGCTAATGAATGTCAGAGAATTTTTCATGTCAGCCAATGTTTGATGCACTAAATAAAGATGAAAAATGAACTGATATTATATTTGCAAGTTTCATTTTCAAACACCTCACTTTGTTTTTGTTCTGCAGTCATGAATTTTTCAGTCTCATTTCGCTTCTTTTTTTTCTTCTTTAAATATTGTGCATATTCAGGATCCATATCTGAATAATTAGCAGTTAATAATTCCATTTTTTGAGAAACAAAACAAACATATTTGAACAAACTTACCAGTATAAAGGCCAGTTGCGTGTTCATCATTAGTGTGAAATTGTTTAATATCAGAATCCCAACATGTATTTTTGTATTCTTTTAAACAATTTTTTTCTTTATTTGTACTCCGTTTTGATATCACCTACCAGTTTCACTTTGACAAATTGTTAATAAAATTAAACAAACATAATTTTACCTTGCACACCGTGTAAATAAGATAAATTGATATACCAACAGCATAAATCGGTAAGACAAATGTAATAAGCGATTTTGAACTATTTTCAGATTTCTCAGCATGCTCTCGCATTCTAGGATGTAAACCTCGCATATGCGGTGGTGAGCCCTCAAAATAAATAAGCTAATAGATGGATAGACAAATGCGATTAGATAAAAACAACATACATGAATATATTCAATTTGTTCCCCTTCACTAATTCTTTCACGTGCTGGTGGTCGGTGAAAATCTTAATAGAGACATACGAAACATTTCAAAGCTCGTATGTAGAATATCAATTCGAACACATATATATGAGTGATTCTGGTGATTTTTGTACCTTTTCTCAAGAAAAAATTGACCCAAAATGAGTGATCAGAAAAATATTTTAACACTGTAGGTTTATAGAGGATACTTGAAAGTCTATAAAAACTTTGTTTCCAAACTACCAAGCCCTTCTCTGTCCAAATCCTGGTTGTTCGCTTTTGGCTCAGGATCGTAATGCGATTTTCTCTGATGTCAGCTAAAAACCATAACTAAGCTTAAAAATGTATTGAAACATAGATTTTCACATATGCTCTATCGATTGCCATCCTTAAAAAAGGATTTTTGACAATTTCTAAGCTGGGGCCTCTAAAAATCCTTCATTGATCTAATTTTCAGAAAACTGAGTCGGTCATTCGATTCAGGGTGTCAAAATACGTATGATCTTAAAATTTGAGGCTTTATGTGCTAGCCATTACGATTCTAGAGAAATGTTTGGGAGCGGAACATTTTGATGTATTTTTGAATTTTCTCTTCTGGCAAGTAATCGATAGCCTTCAAATCTTTAAACATTGAATGGTTAGTACATTTCACACACGGAGTAAAAAAACAAAGCCTCTAGGTCGTGTACCTTGCTCAAGAGAAGCTTAAATGGGAGGTGGAACAATTGAGTGTTCCATGGTAAGCCTGGCCAATAAATTATCGCTCGTACAAAGATAGAAGAGCCTAGAGAACTGCGGCTTTTTACCAATGGATAGAGTACATGATTCTGCATAATCTAAAGCAAAAAATTAAGTGACTGAATCCTTGCTAACTGAACTGTAGACCCAAAAAGGGTGGAACACTTTCATTTTCCGCGGATCACAAATTCCATCGAAGTTTTCACAGAAATTAAAATAGATTCGGCAAAACTAAGACTGCAGATTGATAGAGCAGATAAAAAATACTGCACATAAACAGAAACATAAAAAAGGTTTTGTTTCGCCCACCTTAAAAGAAGAACAAAGCTAATTAAGACAAAGAACGTGCAAGAATCACTAAAAAAAGGAGATAAAAAGGACCAAAACACAAAGTGCTTTATCCTTTCTATACACTACGGAAATTAGACAGAAAAGAGATTAGTAGGATATATAGAGTAAAGTGTCAGGAATAAAATGACATAGGTTTCCAAAAGTTTGGTTTAGTAATAACGGACAACAACACAGGTCGAACGGTACAAAAATCATCCATATATATATTCACTCATTCATTCTTTTTGTCCTTTTTTAAAAAAGACTTTAGAACAGTATCCACATACTTATTTCGTCATCTTTTACAGGTGGATTTAATCCAAATGTATTACGGATTATTGGCCATAAAATTCTAGGTATAAGTACAGCAAAGCAACCAAAAACAATAGCGAAAACAACACTTGGACGAGTAAGTACTGACATCTAAAACCAGAATAAAGTTTGCGTTTATCACTTGAGAAAGATGTTTTTTGTACATATATTTTAACATAAGATTAGATTGAGAACAAACTAAGTTATCAGTTTTTCCTCTTTTGTTCTTTTGACGTTTGTTTGAAACATATCATCACGTCAACACTGATATTATACCAGCACCCTAGTGAATGTACTCATGCGTGAGTACTCAAAAAGTACTCTGCTAGAAAAACCGCATGAGTACTCATACATACTCATATATTTTAAGTAATTATTGAGTACTCACGTGAGTACTCAAGAGTGAGTAATGAGTACTGTGGGGACGACTTTAAGCACTCATGCTAGAGTATTGTTGAGTACGCATATAACTTTTGGCAAAATATTCATGAGCATTGTTCATCTGGTGTTTTCATATAGAGGAGTGATCTCAGGCAGCCAGGGTTGGACTACAAGTCTATTCACAGACGAGCCTATCTCTAACTATATACAGAGAGATCAGCGAGAAGAATATTATATAAATATTCTGTTTCTTTACTAAATTCTATCTTCTTTGTACAGTTCCATTTTTGCAAAACAAAATGGTGAATGAATATTTTCTGAGTACTCACTGAGTAAGAATACTCAAAAGCTGTTAGCAGAACTCATATGAGTACTCATGGACGAATTATGAGTAAAGTCTTACGCATAGTATGAGTACTTTCACTAGGATAGGGTCTGGTTTTCACAATTATGATTTTTGAAAAAAACTGATGATCTTTTTGGGAAAAATTGTTGGATATTCAGACCGATCCCCAAAAGTGAAGAAAACAAATCGACATACAATCATGGTGAAAGAAAAGCTTGCTTTTCTAGCATATATTCAAAATATGTGTTTTTCTGAGAAAGTAAAGCGCAAAAGCTTGCCTTTTTCGAGTATAAATTGAAAATACGCATTCTTCTGGATATGGGGAAAAGGGAAGACGAAGGAGGGGGCGGGCAGATGAGAGTGAGCATCTCCCTGATATTCTGCATCGTGGAAGAAACAGGAAGATACCTGAAGATCTGAACATCTATGTCTTTATATATCTAGATATCTGAAGATCTTAACATATGAATATCTGAACATCTAGAGATTATGTATTATGTAATTGCAGATGTTCACAAATCAGACCGGTCTCTTTTATACTTTGGTAGATGTCACTAGCTGTCGAAGATACATAGAACCGTATATTATTTTTCTCCACTTCTCTCCTTCTCATTCTGGAAAGGATAGTTTTGATAAACTTGTGAGGCTGAGTTTTGCAAGCAAAACTTCGCTAAATGGTAGCAGAAACAGATACGGATCATTCACACAATATGAAAAGCTGACTTTTTGGTTGATAATAACGAGGATTACATACAATAGAAAATGTAGTTGTATAAATTGATGAAAACTATGCACATTCACCCGCAAATCATATGGACTTAATAACAAGAAACAATAACTTCACACAAAAATCACTTTGACAATTTTATTAATAATAAGAACTCTGTAGGCTCGAAATATACTCGGATTTCGGATACAGAAGCTCTTCCAGAGTGCTATGTAAATTTGATCGGTTCTGCAGCTATTACGTGGTTTAATATGAGATAATAGTAACATCAAATGAAGTTTATCGTTCGTTTTCCTTACTATGGTGGATCAAATTATGGTTCAGTTCAACATAGAGTTATGTACAGAAAAATTTAATAATTTAATTTGATATAAGCTATTTTTATTTAAAAAGAAAATTAAAATGTGAGAACTCCCCGAACTAATTCGGCGAACCATTAATTTAATTTTTTAACAAAAACAGTATAAAAAGCCGATATCGACACCCTTTTTTCAGTCTTAAAAACTGTTCTGTGGGAAAAAAAATACGACTAACTGAACGTAAGAGATGAATAAATACGGTGAAGAAACGAAAAAGAGATTTTTCATTGTTTAACTGACAAGTGTCATTCATAACTAGAACACTACTTAAATAAGTATTCAAATTCTACCCGTTGTTTTCACATTCTATTTGAGAAATTTTCGTAAATGCATTTGCCGTTAATTAATAACGTGATATCGTGTTTACTATTAATATATCACTTCTTAAATTTGTTGATAAAAATGATAATTAATCATAAATAAGCAGATAATATTGTCGCTATATCGGTTGATTCTAACATTTGCAGTATTTCATAACGAAAATTTAATTATTTAATTAAGTAATGTAATGAAAAGAACTCTGATCATATGATATTCTAATTTATTCAAAATTATTTCTAAAATAGTTGAAGAATAAAACATCTCGAGAGTTTTAATAGTCAAAACGTTAAATTAATTTGCTGATATTAACTTATTTTGAAAATTTTTTAATTAAAACACTGCGCTTCTATTATTCAGACAGGTTCCCTTATTAAAAAAATCCATCTTTTATCGATTTATGTTTTGCTACCTATTTGTAAAATCATTAAATCTGTAAGTTGATCAATATCTTTCAATAATAATTCATTCGAGTGGAAAGAAATTTAAATATCTGATATGAAACTATTTAAACGACGGTCTTAATTGTTAAATATTCAATATCAGGCAACATCATGTCGTTAGAATCGATTTTTCAATCGCCAAAAACTTTCACTGATAATTTTTTTCAACAATGAGATTTCTATTGATATAAAATATTATTATTACATTCTTTATGAAATTCGGTTAATTCGCAAAATATTGAGGTTAATTAACACTAACGATCAATGTCTGATGAATGAGCAATATCAACCAATGAATCAAATAAATTTTAAATAACAAGCAACAGAATTAAAGGATTTTAACCTTGCTATTAAATATTTAACATATAGAAGAATAAGACTTTAATCATTGTTATACAATAGATATGAAATACTTAATAAAATGATCGATATTTTAACATAGTTAATTCTGGGATAAAAAACTAAATATTTGAACAATTGCATAATAATTTCGTTTGAAGATCTTTCTAGCATTTTGCGTGCTATCTAAAAATAAAAAAGACAGAATATCACGTCTAACAGGAAGAAATAAGGTGAAACATTAAGTTTTAATGATAAGTTTATTTGTCGATTGTGAGTGAAATGGCTTCAACTAAAATGTTCATTTAAACTTTTTAGTAATACAAATAGGCGCTCATCAACTGCAGTCGATTGATCTATATTCTTGTAGAAGCCTTGAAAAGACCAGTACATAGGCCCACTCGAAACTTTAGGAAGTCTACCTGAAAATAATCTAGATTTTCCGTTGAATACAAACTCAAGATGATATACGTAAGTCAACTGAAACAGCAACCTGTTTCGATAACCATCGGTATTCTGGATGCGGCCACAATGTTTCAGTTGTTTACACTGAATTAAGCTTCTGTTTTTTAACCAAATTTGTATTTTAAGAGACAAAAAGAACGATAGAGATAGAAAGAGCAATAGTAGTAAAGCAGTTAAAGAAAAAACAGTAATAGTAGTATTAGTAGTAATAATATACAAAAAAGATCATTCATTCAAGGCAGCACGCAGTATTTAATAAAAAAACGATCTAAACAAGCAAATAGAAGAGAACGAGAGAGAGAAAAACAAATGTAAACTTATCGTACTACATGCCATTACTCTCTGTTTCTCTGAAGGTAAATGGAATTAAAAAAACAGGAAAAAAAAACGAACAAGAGCCAAAAGCTCGGTTAAACGAAAAGAAAGAAACAGAGAGAGACTAGTATAGAGGTGTGGATGTACTACATAGTTGAGTCGACTAGTTAATAGATAGATATAATAATAATAATAATAATAATAATAGAAATAATAATAATAATAATTGTTCATTGCATGTTTGTTTTTTTGTTCGATTTAATTTTTACAACATAATACAGCCACCTTTCCGTTTTTTCTTTCTAGCAAGAGCTGCTCGTGCTGCATGTTCAAATATTTCACGAACACCTTAAAATAAAAAAATTACATCATATGAAGAAAAAAAGTGCTCATAAATGATAAAAATTATACCTTCTTTCGTTTTAGCTGAGCATTCTAAATAATTAACAGCACCAATTTTATCTGCCATTGTCCGACCTTCTTCACTACGCACAGGTTCTTGTTTCATTTTCATCAACTCTTTTTTTGTAGCTTCATCATTTCTTAAATCTTTTTTATTTCCTAGATTAAACAAAAAATATTCATTTAATACAATTTCCCCATTCTAGAGAAAAGAAAGCACTCACCAACTAAAACCATAGGTACGTTCGGACAAAAATGTTTTACTTCGGGTGTCCATTTTTCCGGTATATTTTCTAAACTATCTGGACTATCGATAGCAAAACACATTAAAATAACATCTGTATCGGGATATGATAAGGGACGTAAACGATCGTAACTAAAAAATACCCATACATGAGTGAAAAGCAGCAGTTTATAAGACAAAACACTTACTCTTCTTGACCAGCTGTATCCCATAATGCTAATTCGACCTAAAGCAAATAACAATAAGTTAGAACGGAAGTAAAAAATTTGTTTTGGCTTATTCGCTTTGCATCGAATATTTTGTTTGTCCGACCACAATAAACACAAAATTAACAAAATGAACTCTCACAAAAAAAACATATTTTTTCTTTTTAAATAAAGTTTAAAGTAACGGTTTCATATCCTCTTTACCAAAAAGTAGTTTATCAAACTTGAAAAATTCTGCGTAAAATAACTATTTATTAGTGTTCAAGCGGAAAGAGACTTAAAAAGAAACACTGCAAAAACTTAATAAAACAATTTTGTTACATTCCTATAACAATAACGACACTACCCCATACCTGTTTCCCATCAACTTCAATGTCTGCAACATAATTTTCAAATACTGTTGGAACATAAACTTCTGGAAATTGATCTTTACTGAATACGATTAACAAACACGTTTTACCTAGAGCAAACACAACAGAGATACCGTGTTTTTTATATTTAAAGGAAAATATGCTCTCATTTACGTACCACAAGCACCATCTCCAACAATAACCAACTTCTTACGAATAGCAGCCATAGAGATGTTTCACAATCTTTTTTATCTGAACAAAAAGATAAGTTGGGCAATAAAAACAATACTGGTTCAATAGAAATAGAAATCGTATGTCAAATATTTTACCTCTCACAAACTATCACTAATGAACGAATATACGAATGGCTAATGATGATTCAAATATATAAATATTTATATTACTGCATTTATTTTTTCCGGGAAGATAAATCAATTAAGCTATAGGAACAAAGAGCAAGGGACGCCATAGTGAAACTACTGCATATGTTATCACAGATGAATCAATAACATGTGTTCCATATATTACCACGACGAAAAGTCAAATGGTGCATTGCTATGTTACTCATCCAAATTTGAAAACATTATTTTGCATAAGACTCAGAGATACAATATTATATTTCCATTAAATTTCATTCTTAGAATATAAGTCACCAACGCGCTTACAAACTACAGCAGAGATGATACTGCTTAGGAACAAGTCTTTCAAATGGCATGACACAGCAGGTGAAATGAGATCAAAGCAACAGGACGCGTTAAATTTTCGGAGTTACATAACGCTCCTCATGCATTTCTTGACATTTATATCTTAACAATAATTACTATGTGTCATTAGTCGATCTTTTAAATAAGGAAGTTTAACTTTTGTGACTAACTTTGTTTGCCGATAGTTGCCTCCGTAGGTATTGAAGTAAGGAAAGAGCTTTGTGCATCTTTTTGAGGGTCCAGCATCTCCCGTCTCCCTCCCTCGATCGGGAACCCTGGTGGTACTTCAATGATTATATAGTTTTCGACAGATTTTGCTTAAAAATAAGACAACGTATTTGTGTGAAGCAAACTGCTGAAGTCAAGCGACTAAGTGGAACAATGAACGTTACTTGTATATAGTGCGAGATTCGTCAATGGCCTGCAAAACGAATGTATAAAGTGAACTCAAATTTTGAAACAAACGGAAGACATGCCAACATTTGTTTAGCTCTGCTATACGAATGGCGAAGATTAACGCAAAAAAGCCTTTGATTGCCAAAAATGAAACGACAGTTCTGTCGCAAAGGAAAGCAGCAGTCAGTTCTCTAGCATGTTGGTATCCAATAGTCGGTTATGTAAGGTGTGTAGAACGGGATCTGGGTGGTGTAATGGACAGCTTCTCCTGTTATCTCAAATTCAGGACACAAAAGCTTATAGAATTTCATTGAAAAAAGTGTTTCTTATATCATTGTAAGACAACAAAATAAAAAGTGACTGAAAAGAAAACCATCAGTCAGGTATGTATAGCTGTACCATACAAATTGATAAATCAGTAAGATTTCGCAGAACGATCTTTTCTATGTGGTGCTAATCCAGACGTATCATTATGACAATAACTCAGTTAATATATATATATCTTATCTGTTCATTTGAGCTTATTCGCTTCATTTCTCTATTACAGATAGAACTGGCTTAACTGTGTAAATATTAGGCATGTGATTATGATGTTCTGTGTCGAACATTATCTCAGCTTTACTGGGATGGAAATTCAGTTTTAAAAATGGTGAAGTTAACCGCCGAACTTATTGCAAAACAAGCCCCAGGACATAATAAAAGACGAGCTGATGAGTCCACAGCACATTATTTGTCTCGAATCACACATCTGCCATTTCAAAGTCGTGGGATAGACTCTGTTGTAAGTAATGTGGAAAAGACGTCATTCGGTCCGCTTGCCCACGTCTTGCAGAAAGTGAAAATCTGCATAAGTTCTTTTATGATTCTGCTTCTTGAAAGTTCTTGATCAAGATCTTGATACAGGATTTTCAAGACCATCATGTTCAAATACATCGACAAAGCTGATCAAGATTTACTATAGTTCCGAGTCTGACGTATCTTCAGAATTCTCTACCAAGATCTTGAAAAGATTTAACAACTTTTCTGAACTCACTGATGTAATTATTAATCAGGAAAATTAGTCCCATATCTGGACAAGGAAGGTGAGAGAACGGTAACTATAAGAATTTCACATGTATTACTGATATTCTTTGCGGTACTACAGTTTAGAGGCTATTGGTCTATTAGATGGGTAAATGAATAAATTATACTTGTCGTTGTCTCTATCACCGTTTTTGTTTTGTAATGCCGATATATATATATATAAGATACAGAATCTGCACTAAAAAATTGAGAAATCTTCAAGTCATTATGCACATAACGTATGACTGAACCGCTTCGGTTTTGTCACAATACAGAAGGTAAAAATAAAAATAAATGAAATAATACCTAACGCACCCAAAAAACTATTCAACATTTTATACAAATATGACTACTATATTATACTAATTAACTGCTTCGTCAGAATCAATTACAAATCTTGATAAAGGTTTATCAAGACAGCTTTTGATACAAAACTCGTGGAAAATCTGCAGTACTACTTTTTGTTCAGAATCTTGAAGATTTTGGTAAATCTGCAGAAGTTCTTTAAAAATCTGGTGCGACACTTGAGAAGTCTTTAAAGATTTCTCAAGATCTGTGTTCAGGATTTTTCTCCTGGATTGTCTACATAAAATTTAGTAATGCTTCTCTACAAGTGCAGACTGTAAGAGAAAGCTTTTTAAATATATTGACATAAGCTAAAGTGAATACTGCAACAGATGTTTTTGTAAAAGCAGTGGCTTAACTGTTCATTCAATGTAACAAGTACCACGTTATAAAAAATCGTCCCTATTTTTTTGTATCAACAAACAGCATCTTATTTATTTCATTTTTTAGGATATCATTCCAGCTTGTCGGCATTTAACAGTGATATATCTCTACGATAATGCATTAAGCAAAATAGAAAATTTGAATTTTGCTGAAAATTTGACTCATCTTTATTTACAAAATAATCGTCTACAAAAATTAGAAAATTTGGATTCTTGTCTAAAATTACAAAAATTGTAAGTAAGTTCATTATTTGTGTTTATTGTTTCGATCAACTGCAGTAGACTTAATCGTCCTCATAACATTTAGATCAGGAATGTAATCTGCGTTCTTCTGTTAGATATTTAGGTGGCAATCAACTCCGTGTATTGGAAGGATTAAACAATTGTATTAGTTTAACGGAACTTTATGTTGAAAATCAACATCTTCCAGAAGGAGAAAAACTGGTATTTGAACCACGTACTATTCTGGCGCTGGCAAAAGTCTTACGTGAGTAGTTGTATTGTTACTGTTTTGTTTATTCTAATAAAAACTGGATCAACCAACATGTAATGAGCCAGCTCGATTTGTTGAAAAATAAAAAGTTTCAGATTAAACTTGATGGGCTTTTTTTATTTTTCTGACACTCATTACATTTTAGGCAAGTTTGAATGATAATTTTTATTTAGAAATATTAAATGTGAGTGGTAATAACTTGGATAGTTTAATTGAATTGAGTGTATTAGAACATCTTGAAGAACTAACAGCAAGTAATAATAATTTACAAAATTTACGCGAATTAGTTCATTTACTAAGTATATGGCCAACTATAAAACGCCTTGATACAAATCGAAATCCATTATGCACGAAAGCACGTTATCGTGAACGTTTAATTGTTGTTCCAACAACACTTGGTATGCCAGATATGCAAGTCAAAGCATAAACTTAGTATTTTCTTGCTTGCTTGTTTAGAAGTACTTGATGGAAAACCAATACCCGCAAATTCACGCCAATTTTTATTAAATTGGAAAGCGTCTCGTGAAGCACAACAAAAACGTGAGGCAACAATACCAGATATGAACGACAGTGGTGATTTACAACATTCTCATATGAATGTAGGAGATTCAAACGGAATAAATGGTAAATAAAAAAATTAGAACAAAATCTTAGAAAAAGGTGTTTGCAATAAGTGCTCCGTTGACAATGGTAAGGATTGTCGTCTAGCAAACAATGTTTGTTTTTCGACTAAAATGTGATATTATCGATGTGTCAATTTTTAGAATATAAATTTTTCCTTATGTAAAGTGTTTGAAGATGTTTTTGTTCTTTTCAATAGGAAACATGTTCGAGTGCTGTCTTAACCTCAGCACTTAGTTTCATTAAATTTCTATATGATGTTTTGACACCTGCTCCACAGATTTTTGGAAACCTTTTTTTATCACATTTTTCTAAAACCTCATAGATTTTAGCATGACAGCTTTTGATGCTGATTATGAATATCACATTTAACATTGAAGAAAATGTCGCTTGCATAGATAAAAATCATTTTTACTGGAAAAGGGGCGTTAGAATATACGACTCAAAGTTCATCCTCTATCCGTACTAAAAAGGACCTTTAATACCTTAAAAATAGTCTAGAATGTGGAAAAATAAGATAATGTATTTGTGTGAAGTAAACTGTTGTAGTCAAGGGACTGAGTGAAACGATAAACGTTATTTATGAACCATATTCAACGACAGATGAGTTCAGTATATCTGTTATACGTTAGCAAGATAAAAATTTCTGCCCATTTGTCAATTTAGATTACCACCGAAATGGTTTTAAAACAGACAATAATTCACTAGTTAAAAAAGGAATGTTTCCAATAGCATTTGGGGAAAATGCACAAAGGTAAATAGATCTCTCTTTTAATTTAAATTAATCCTTCAGCATTTTTTAATCCAATACTATTATGAAAACTCGGTGTTTTAATTTTATTTAGAAAATCAACTGCGTTAGCGAGAGGTGAAAAATTTTCAGCATTATTTACTACTGGTATTCATCATATACAATCATCTTTGAACCGACCACAGGGAGTAACTTTTGTTGAGCCTTTAATAAATCCATCTTTTGAATCCGTTAATCATTAGATTTAAAATCCATAGGTTTTGATGTAGTGCGTCATCATACGGTGAATATTTGCTTTACTCCAATACTCAAATTGATGTTTTGGTCTAGTTCAAAGTAGTTACCTTTTTTCCTTTACTTTTAATCTATCTTTATGATTTCATATGTTTTAATTTTGTTTAAATATTGTTGTTTTATTTTTATGTAAAAGTCTTTTCTTTTATTAATGGTCATGATTATTGAAATATAATTCAATAACTTTCAGTTGAAAATCATATATAAGATATTGACTAAAAATACTTTTACTTTCAAAACAATTGACTAAGCATAGTATTTGTTTTTCTTTAGCTATATTCATTAATTTATAGACTAATTACTGATTAATTTTAATTCTATTTTTATTAAAGTTATATGGTTAACACTTACTCATCTATGTAATTGTTACTAGTAAACTCCTTTATCGCTCATTTTATTAATAAAAGCAAACAACATCAGATGCCTAACTGAATGTGATGAAAACATTTTAGTTATCATCTCTCTTAAAAAATAATCTTAGTTAATTTCTTTTTGTATATATATAAATATTTTTGATATTAATGACAACAAACATTGTTTGATTCGATATGGTGACAGTTTGTAAAGTCGCTATTCCAAAATGTATTATTATTCATGCTTATCTTTCACCATTGACTCGAACTTGTATACAACTTATTATTTGTTGTTGTTATCTTCTCTATGATTCTTTCTACACTATACTGATCAAAATAGGCATACCACGCAGCATAACTTAGTCTGCTAGTTAATATTAACACACTATACTATAAAGAAAGTTTTTTCGCAAGATAAATGTTAAGAAAATGATTCGAAAGAATTGACAAGGAAAATCCAACATTAAAGTAAGTGTAAAAAAAGGAGAGGATCTAACATTGCTTTTTCATTCACTAATATTACCGAGTTCTGTTGTATAAACATAACTCGGATCATCGTCCTACACATGTTTTATCCTTTGAAATTTCAAGATTTGAGCTTCTGTTTTTTTCTTGCCTAAGATCGATACCAGAAAATCGATCTTAACTTTTCCCAAAATGAACGCTGAATATTTTTGAGAAAATATAATTAACTGTGCTGGCTGAGTACAACTGTGTTTTCAGAATGTCATAAGAATGATTCTTTATCGAAAAAAGCTTTTTAAGTACCTGGTAATCTGAATTCTAAGTAGTAATCGGTGTAGCATGGATATTAGACTTGATAAATACGGTCTAAAATCACTTAGCCATAGGTAAAACATTATTTAAAACCTCGATGGTTTCATGATTTTTTTTTAAAAGAACGTCTCATCCGTATATTCTGACTGCGTAAACTGTATTGAAAATACTTTCGAAGCTCAGTCTCTCTCCTGCCCTAGGAAAACTTTGGCGCCATCTCAGGTAATGTCGTTTATTCTTTCGGAATTCTTCTGACTGTACAAAGAACAACCTAAAAATTGAGAAATATGACGAAGTAGTTACAGTACAATCAATGTTTACCAAATATTCATTTAAAACTTGCCTAGAGAAAAAGTAAATACGAGAGGTTCGCCAGCTATATGAGAAACTGACTCTAATTATTTCTTTTTGTCTAGTATTACTTGTCATTTTTCTGTAAAGACAAAATTGTGTGTAATCGTCCTTAAAAAAAGATCATATTTGGACAGAAAAAACAAAATTAAGGGTAGAGAGTAAAATTCCGCGAGATCTTGAATCGCGTCCAGCCTCGTGAAACAAACAGACTCGCACAAAGTGTAAACAAATCTTACTCCGAATTTCTGTTGCAATTTTTCAATTTCTAGTAACGCTTTGCAAGTTTTCCTCTAAAATCTGTAGGTTAAAACTCCAATTTGACATAAAAATCATTGAGATGATCAAACTTTTATTGGAGAATTAGTATGGCCGTGTGTTTCACGAAAAAATAAGTTGTAAGAAGAATACGGAACAAAAAAGGTGGAAGTTTCTTTTTCCATGGGACAGGTGGCCGCAAGACAGAAACATGTATGAGCTGCGGATAACAAAAAACAGAAGCTCAAATCTTGAAGTTTCAAATGGGCAAAATATGTGCAGGACGATGATTCGAGTTATATTTATGCAACAGAACTCGATAATATTAAGGAATGAAAAATCCATGTTAGATTCTCATCCTCTGAGCTCATAAACAGAGAAGAAAAAAATTGTAGATACCCTATTAAAAATCTTCGGAGGCATTTCTAACTGTCTTACTAAGATACATCTCACGTTCTAAAATCTTAATCGAGATTTGAGTAAGATTTGATACCTCTACTGTCATTCATCCTTTTGGTTTGCTCTTGTGCATCTATATAAGTAACATCGAAAGTATCACTGCCCTAGTGAAACTCCCTGGATCTTGAGAAAAGACACTAATAACTCAAGATTTCGGATTCGTGAATCTTGCACTCAAGGTTTTTGCTAAACAGAAATTTTAAGATCTTGATTGGAGCAAGTCAAAATGTTTCAAGATTTTGGTACACATTTTGCGCTCAAGATCTTGCAAAAGATGTACAAGGCCTTGAGTTCTTGAATTTCTCACGTTTTTTTACCAGGATCTTGAGTCAAAAACTTACTGACAAAATTCAAGAAATCAAGATATTGGTTACAAGAAGTTTCACCATAGGATGAATTTTAAGGTGTCATTCCTCTTCACGACCTTACCCGTACTTGTTCCGAAAGTGTTTAACAACTTTTAAAAGTGTATACACTGCAAAGTAACGTTTAGCAATGGATCTCTAAATATATGAGATATCTCTTCGTTCTTTAGATCGCCGTTATATAACGGCGAACTCAGACTTGAACTCGGCTCTGTCAAACAAATTTATCAGTACTAGAGTAAGATATTTAAAAATTTTTAGTAAATCATCATCAATCTCATGTAAAAAAATTATTATTCTTAGCAAGATCGTAATAGAATCACATCAGATCTATAAGATCTTAGTAAGATCGTAATAGAATCACATAAAATCTATATCTTGATAAGATCTTAGTAAGATTTCGCTTCCATTTTTCTAAGATCTTAGAGATATCTTATAAAATCTTAGAATTTTCGAGTCTCACGATCTTAGTAAGATTTGTCTAATGAGAGAAGATCCTCAAGTGTCAGTCTCCGTTTTTAATGGGGTATATACCAGTTTATAGAGCTCGACGAGCTGATCACGATGGCATATAGCGTTCATCCCCGTACGGTGTAGGTGAAGAGTTAGATCGATCTCAACTTTCAAGAATCACTCTGCAACGCTGTTTGGGGAATTTAGGTTTTGACAATATTGTAGTTTCAAGCGGTCGGATTCGCATCATGGAATGCACCGTAGTCGGCGGTGAATTCTCAAAAAAAGCCAAAATAAAGAGCCTAAGCATATTTTGAGTTTATATTGTAAAAGAAAATATTTGCACAAAAAGACAAAAAGATATTCTATAAAAAGACTTTATTTTCTAATGTATAGAAAATCGATCTGAAAAATCCTTGAGGATTTCAAAGCAGTTATAATATTGTCCACAATTAGGGCCAAAGAACGTAGAAAATGGTAACTTTCGAAGAACACTTCCGAAGAATGGAGAGATATAGAATGAATGCAACCAAAAGATACCAATTAACGCTAAAGATTGCCGAACGACTGCCAAATTTTGCTGCCTAGAAAAAGTTTGTATCACAGAGTACCTTTTCGCAAATCTGAACCAGTACGGAGATCACTTCGTTGAGTTTTGTGACTTTCTGAGGTAGAAATCCTGCTATGAAAAATGGTTTTGAGTAGTTTTTTTGAGACGACCACGTCCCTCAAAGAATAACTGTTAAGACTGCATGTTTGGCATTTTTGTCTTCCAGGCGTAAATGATATTCTTGCTTCTTTGCTTATATTAGTGTCTTTTAACTTGAACGATCTTTCACTGTGTGAGAGCAAAAAATATGAGTTGTATCTCTCGATTTTGATCGTCTGTGAATGTAGCTGTCCGTAATGGAAGTCTTTGACAAGAAATTCGTACAACTTTGTTTTGTAGTGAATGTCTATGGTTTCAGATTAAAGGCAGACTAGCAAGCCACGTGAAATGAAGTATGGAGCTTTGTGAGAAAAATTGGTCTGCCTGATAACTTAGCGAAACTTGTGACTTTACGCGAGAAATTCAACCTTTTAACTTTCCTTTTTTTGTAGAGATTTGATTTCTGTTTTATGTATATTAAAATCACCCCATTTGACTTCAAAAAAATAAATCCAGCTTATGTGTGTTTTTATTGGAATCAAAAGCTTATGGCCGTGATTCCATAGTATGACTATAATGGATCCATTTATACGATTATGGATTTTCTGACATGCACTTTATGAGAAATCATTCAATTTTTTAGAAAATACGTTTTATTTTTTAAAAAATGAAGGATGGATCTCTGTATTCTTAAAAATCTGATTTTCTAAAAAAAGAAAAGTCCTCTAGGAATGCATATAGGCACTCCTAGAAAATCGCTCGTTTTTTTTCTATAACTAATTTTCTACTTTAGAGTATATGGAAAAAAAGGATGATGAAAGTATAACATGTTAAAATCTTTTCGGGTTTTATATGAAGAAGGAAATCATCAAGAAAAGCGTTATGAAAAATGATTGAACTGAGAAAAGGTTTAACGGATGTTTTCTTTCCAAGATCCTATCTCTTTCTAAGATCTTAACAAGATTCGAGAAAGTTTCTTACGAAAAAAGTGTATGTGCTTCATTACTATAGAAGTCCATCATTGAACATTTAATTATTTGAAGCAACACATACATCAGTCAATTCAGTTTTTGATACCGATTCCAAATATGACACTGGTTTCGCAAAAAATGGAAGTTTAACGCCAAAAGCTGCAAAATACGACTGCATTTCCTTATTTTTTGCTACCTGTTTCAAAAAACTTAATTTTCTCAACAACGAAGGAATATTTTCCAAAACCGATACATACCTTTTTTCATGCCGATGTGGCGAGCCTAACAATATAAAAATATTGGCTTCATTTCTGATTTAAAAATAGCTGATGCATTGGGCAGGTAGTGATGAGGGATTTTTGCTATCGGTCAAAAACTAAAATTTTCCAGGGTCATGTCGTATTTGAATGACGCAAAACTACATTTCCAGATTTAGTTTTTCATGCTTATTTCTTTTTTTTGTGTGGTGGGATGATTTGCTCAAAGTTTTTTGTTAAACTTTTTATCACTGCCTTGTCAGTTTTTAAGATCGTGGACTAAATAAATTTGCCTTTGACGTAGAATAAGAATAAAAAGCTTTCAAAGCAAAGTCATTGAGTCAAGTCGCAGAGTCAGCTTGCAAAGTCACTGAGTTAAAGATATACGCTCGTTTATTAAGGTTAGGGCGTTTTTTGAAGTTTTCGCCCTCAAAAACTTTTTTTGGAATGTTAAAACAAACATAGTCTAATTCAGCTCGACAAGCTCTATCCAACCATGTATAAATAGCGCAAAAATAAATTTTGCCGAAATTCTGAATTTCCGGTGTCTTACATAACAAAATATAGCGTGTGTTTTTCTTCTTATTGCATTAACAAATATTATTATCAAAGTTTCATTTCGTTTAAATAATTAGTGTATCGAAAAGCTATGAATATATGGGTTATTACATACAATACACTTTTAAATACAAAAAAATGTTGTTCCTTGTTGTATTCTACGATCTAACATAGTTCTTTCTTTCTTTCTCTCGCTTATCACATCTACGCATTTTATCACAAATTGTTTTTTTCTTGATGATAGTTGAATTACTTACTCAATTAGTGAAATTATACTAAATAGTATTTCATGAGACAATTTATAGTCTAATAGAATTTCATAAGACAATTTTATAGTCCAAATCTTGATTTGAAATCACAAACTGAATTTCATTTAGTTTTGAATTATTTTGTGGTTGATTATCAAAGAATAATAATCTATTTGTATATCGTGTCATTATATCGATATATTTAGAAAAAGCGTCATCACTTACTAAAATATGCTCAACTACTTAGGTGAATGTTGTTATTTAGCCCATATGATGACATGCACAATATAACAATAGTTGATCAATAAAAATAATATATGCATCTTCGAGAGGCTTGGTTTTTGTGATGAGTTAATGACAGAATGTTAGTTTTACAGTCGCTTTTTAGTTAAAGAAAATCTCACATCAAAAGCTTTTCAGAAGTGGTTATAACTTTATCTTTTTTCTATATTCGTAAAAACGACAACTAGTAACAGAATGGTTAATTACGTTTGAAGATCGAATCATCCAATATTTTGATGATGTTCGACGAATATATTCTCAACTGAAGAGTTACACAAAGAAGTCTCGAATACTCCGTGCGCAATAAGGACTTTTGTATAACTAAATAAACGGTTGTAAAAATAGATTTATTCAGTATAAATAATGTCAGGTTTAAAAGTCAAGAGAATTTTAACTAAAAAATAAATTAAACGGCATAGCACGTCTAATCATTGTTTGTTTCTCTTAATTAGAATTTCATCGTTTGGAAATAGAAACATCAGGCATTCACGTTTTAAAAATAAAAGGGGTACATTCTAATTAACATTGTTGTCAATCTCCTCTCTCTGAAAACACACGTTCAACATTTGATATCAAAATTTAATGTCTTTTTATGACGGTCTTATATGATTAAAGTTTTTTCTAATTATTGAGAACCCTCTATTATGTGCGATAATATTTCCTGATTTGTTACATGTTTATAAATGTTGAAATATTTTTAAACAAAAGAAAAATGTTCTTTTTTTTTCAAATAGTGATATACCACGTCAATGCGTCTGTTCCTTTTTTCTCGTTCGGATACTCTATTTTTGGGTTTTTTTTTTTTTTCTTTTGATTTTTATATATATAGATATATATATATATATAATATAATATATATATATATATATCTTCTATTGAAACAAATTTTTTTATTTGAATATTCAAAGGAAAAAGTAATTAACCCTACTCATTCTATGTTCCGAAGACGAAGGAGACAGAGAACTCCGACTTACTGCAGTGGACATAAAAAGTAATATAAAAAGAAAATGGTGATGATGATGATGATGATTTATTATATATTTTTTCCGTATAAAGATACAATTCTAAATTGAAGAGAGAAAGAACAAAAAATAACTGGCAGGAAAAAATCTATTAGCGTTCTGTAAGTATAAGAGCGAAAAAGAATAAAAAATCTATATATCTTACAGTGCATTTCTTTACTGTATCATTTTTTAAGATTTTAATATTATATTGATAAAGAAAAGGTGTTTAAATAATGAATGTTAGCTGAGAGAGAGAGAGAGAGGGAGAGAGAGAGAGAGAGAGAGAGATAAAGAGAAAGACACACACATGCACATAATAGATTAATGATGTCTGCCGATCACGAAAAAGAACAGGTTAAGTGATGATCAAAGATTTTATCGAAGCGTGACTAGCAAATAACTTAGTTTAGATCCATTTATTTAATTTTTAGTTCAATACAATGAATATGCGATAGATTCAAAGAAAAAAACATCAATATGAATAGTTCCGAGAATTTAACATGTAAATGGAATACAAGTTGTTATTTCATCGATTCAAATGGACAATGTTTAACAAATAACATGGTGTTAGATTTAATATTAAAATATGTAAAACCAACAACATACGAATGGATGATTATCATTTTGTATATTATTGTTTTTATTGTTGGTACAGTTGGAAATGTACTCATTTGTATTGTTATTCAACGAAACAGAAGTATGAGGTAAAAATGACGTCTTTTATATGAAATTGATATTTAACATCTATTCAATGTAATTATCAACATAACTATTTTTGTCATACAGGAAAAAAATGTTGAATTTATATAATTTCATGTCTATTACTTATTCATTAGTTTCAACCTGTTGCTAGAATAAAGGTTATTCGCTAATTTTTGTTTCGAGTCTTTATGATAAGCTAGAGATCATCAAACTTTCAGTTTTTTATCTAATTTCTAGCGGGTGATATCTTGAAGTTTTTGTATCGAGCTAAAAGATGTTAATTTTATACCAATGTAATAATTGAAGATCTAGTATTACTGAGACAAACAAAAAAATAATCTGTCTCATGCGAATTTGTAAATTTTACCTTTGAGACATTAAGAAACAAAAAGAATAAGGGAAAGTAGAAAATACAATGACAATAGATCCCTGTTAAATTTTCATGGAGAAAGAATAAATGGCATCTAATACAACAAATTAATTAAAATAGAAAAAACCTTTGTATATATATATAAAGAAAAAATATATCTTAGTATAGTTGCTATGGTGTTGTATTATTAATTTTATATAATTACATTATTATTTTGTTTTTAGAACTGTGACAAACATGTTTATAATGAATTTAGCCATTGCTGATGTATTAATACTTGTATTTTGTTTACCACCAACTGTTATACAAGATGTAACAAAAACATGGTTTTTTGGATTATTTTTTTGCAAATTTGTCAGTTATATACAGGTATATCTTTGTCTCTTTGTGAGTATCAATAGAATATAAATTATTTACATACATTCTATAAAATGTAGAACCTATGAGTATCTGTTAAATGAAGAAAATAAGACATATATAAAATACGTGCACGCAAATGAATATTCTCTTGGGATTATTTTAAAATAATGCTTCGAACCATATAATAAGAAGTCTGACATATTTTGATATATTATTGCTTTTTTTATAATCTTGTTCAACGTTATTTGCATTTAGTTTTTACTAAATAAGAGAGAGAGAAATGGAATAGAGATCTTATTTTTTTTTCTTCTAATCAACATAATTCTGTTGTAAAGAAAATTATCTGTTTGAAAAAATTTAGAGTTAGAGACAGAGGTGAATAGAAGATAGCTTTTAGAAAATTGGATGGATTCAATTTAGGTTGGATAAACTAGTGGTTCTATTGAATTTATTTTGGCATAAAAAATATACTTATACAAAAACGAGCAAAAATTTTAGTTCCAGAAAAATGTCAATGGGATTGATTTTTAAAGATTCTTATCAAACACTAGTGTTTTTCGGTGATAATAGGTCCCTTTTATTTTTATTTGTCAGAGCAGAGTAAAAACAGTTGAAAAAACAGGAATATACACACAAAAAGCGGAAATAAAGTGAAGTTCAAATGATGAAGAATACGAATTTTTTACTTTGTCCTAACTTGAGTCAATTTTAAGAACATAAGACAGGTGTCTCTTGTTCCCGCAGATTCAGTGTGAGTTTTTAGTATAGTAAATATATATAAGAATTTTTCTCCACATTAAACATACACGGTGGGTCAGATAAAATCGACCACTTTTATTCGCTGTTTTAAAGACACTTTCCAGTAGTTCAAAGAGTTCATTCTAGATTCAATCTATAGAGAATTGAATTCTCTACAAAATCTATTATTTGAATCTCAGATAGAATTTTTCTGGTATGTGCACCATTCAAAATATTGATGAATGCTAAGTTCTCGAACTACGACACACTAAAGATAGAAAAATATTTGTCTTGATCCCAAAACAGATTCCATAAGGATTTTGAAAACATCAACAAATTCACCAGAAAATGCTACATCTTTTCACATACTTTTCGAACTTTTTTTGTAGTTAAGTGTTCTAGGAAAATTTCTATGTGCAAAAACTGATAAAGAAAAAAAACCCTAACTTTTAAACTTATTTTTCAGACATTTAAGTATTTTTACTATAAAAGCAGTAAAACGTTAGGAATCAAGGATTCTAGCCTTATTATCTTATACAGAATTAAATTCTGCATTATTTGATATATAAATAAAGTTTCTCGATTGAGACCATTAATTAAGACAAGTAATTTAATTTGAAAAAATTGAAAAACCAGTTGAGAACTAATTATGAGTCCAGCTGACGTAGCGGAAATATTGTATGAAGTTGTAAGTGAATGAGATCCATAGAGCAGAAAATTCTCTGTCTTTCTACATAGAACAATTGACTATTGAGGTTCAGATAATGAGCTAAAATTCTACTAAAATTCTAGCTAAAATTCTAAAAAAGAGGACGACAAAAGCACGTCACAGTTCAAGAATTCAACATTCATCAATATTTTGAATGGTGCACATACCAGAAAAATGCTATCAGAGATTCAAATAATGTGCTTTGTAGAGAATTCAATTCTCTATGGATTGAATCTAGAATGAACTCTTTGGACTACTGGAAAGTGTCTTTAAAACAACGAATAAAAGTGACCGATTTTATCTGGCTCACCCTGTATATTTTTTGGTTTTATTAATGATAAAGATCCATAGAGAATGTCCAAATAGCTTGGTCATGAAAATAGAGTCAAAATTTATTTACTTATACTAAAAAGTGTTAGTGTACTGGTCATCAAAGGTCCACATCAAAAATCATTTTAGACAGTGTACATTTAATGAAATTCTACTTTTTAGCAAAAAAATAGATCTATTCGTGAAAAAAAGATTTACAACTGGTATTAATAAATAAAAACGATTTTAGATTTCAACTAGCAATTCTTTTTCCAGTTGTTATAGAGGCATAAAAAAATGAGACAAAATATTAAAATTTAAATATTATAGAAAAATATTAAGAAAAATTTTGTTTCTACCAAAAACATAGGAAAACGTATTTTTTAATTCTTTTTTAAAAAGAAACTCGATGGGAGTCGAAAAAGGTAGTTCTACAAACTGGAACACTTTGGAAGTCTGTAAATGGTTGTATCAGGCTATTGCAGAAGCCGCAATCCATAGCTCACCTTACTAAAGAGAAATTAACTTCTTTTGACAAAATTTTAAATTGAACAAAACATTTGAATATGAGAGATTGTAGAGCCATTCGAGTTCTATAGAGTAAGACATAATAAGACTCTGGCAAAGGTTCCATTCAATTACGACAAATTCAACAATCTTTACGTACTGTTGTAAATGCAAAAAACCATGTGTTTTATTATTTTCCGCACTGACTTTTTTTATATATATATAAAATAAAACTCGGAATGTTCCTCTATCAAACAAAAAGACAACCGTAAAGTTTGGTTAAGAAATGACTGAGTTATTAGAATTTTTTATCCAATAGTGTGGTGACTATTGGAACACCCTGTAGAACAAAATTGTAGATCGTAAAAGTCATAAATGTTTGAAAAACGTCTTGTAAAACATAATTTAAACATTTCTTTTATCTGCATTTTCGCTGTTGACCGGTCTATCTGGATCACGATATACATTTAAGTTAGTTTAAAAATTGATCAATATTTGCTGTGAAATATATAGAAATGTACGCTCCAGTATAACTATATCATGTTTATAGATATTAAATTCAAGCATTATAATGTTATCTTTTCATTTTTTTTTCTTCTTTTTAGACGGTGTCAATATCAGTTTCTGTTCTTACATTGCTGGCTATTTCTGTTGAAAGATATTATGCCATTGTGTATCCACTTAAATTTACTGGTACAAAACAACGTGCACGAATTGTACTATTTGGTGTATGGATTTTATCTATTTTACTTGCCATGCCAGGTAATTAATAATTTGAACAAATTTTCCTCACTAAAATACATGATTCTTGTTTTTCATATTAAAGATGTTGTAATGATGACATTAAGTCAACAATTTGATCAATCTATCAAAACAAATTATTTAACATAGTAGGTTTGGTTTAGTTTTCTTCAAAACTAAAATTTTTCCATAGCTATTATTATGTTAATTTATAAGACACATACATATAAGAGGTTATTTTTAGTATTTGGCTTTCTGACAATGTTAAAATGTATATGTGTGCAATTTTTTGTTCTGATTCTTGTCAACGTCTTATTGTCTGATGAATGTAATGTTAATTGATTGTTATCTAGATAACATAAGAATAGTCTGTAAAGCGCTAACGTTTTTTGTCGCGAAACAAATGACTAGCGATAAAATAATTTTTCTAAACAGACTTTTTTAAATATTCTATTTCAGTTGTCAATGGCATGCAGATCCTCTATTTGATTTGCTGTATCAGTTACACATAACACTTTGTTTATTCGTTATACCATTATGTTTTATGATACCTACTTATACTGGCATCGTCAAGGTCCTATGGGGATCAATACCAACTGAAAAAATGCTATCGGGTAAACAACGAACTATCAGTTATAGCCAACATACACTTTCAGGTCAATAAATATTATTTAATTTATATTAAGAAACTTTTATGAAATCTTTCTTTTAGATGTTACTGTTCTTTCCGATGATGTAAGCGTTCATACTCCTCTAAACGGTATTCAAAAATCAGCAAATTTAATTGTACAAGAAAATAGACAAAAAGCAGCCAAAATGTTAATCGCTGTGGTAGTCATATTTGCCATATGTTATTTACCAGTTCATCTCTTCAACTTATTCAGGTATCTATAGTCAATTTAGAATTAATAGATAGAAAATTATTTGTCTTTTAATATAACTCATTTTTTACTTTAAAAATAGTCTTTATTCATGTTCGTTTTATTTATTTATTCTAGACATGTTGGCGTCTACATGGAACATAACAATGCAAAAAAAGAAAAAGTAATAGTAGATCAAGCTGACATTTGTTTTGAACCAAAACTCGTTTCATTAAATCGTACTGGTACCATCAAAATTATTACAATATCGGCACTTATTTCTCATTGGTTACCCTATTTTAATAGTTCAATCAATCCGGTCATTTACAACATTATGAGTGGTATGTTATATCTAGCAAAAAGTCAAATTTTATATAATTATTGTTGTTTTATTTTGTATTGTTTTCTTTTAGATAAATTTCGTCGAAAATTCAACGAACTTTCGCAATGCTGTGGTCAGTATGAAACAGAAACAACGTTATTAAAACCAAAAATGTTCAAAGTATTAAATACAAATTCACCAGCAATAAAGCACGATATCAAAGTTACCGCATATGGTATACCACACATAAATAGATTACCCACCAACTCTAACAACGCAAATAATAGCATGCATGATATGACTGCTACTAAACTGTTGACTACTCGAGATCATAAAAGAACTGGACAATTTCGTTTAACAAATGTATGATTATGAATGTTCTCTTTTTTTTTTATTTGTATTAAATAAAAACAATTTTATTTTCTCATTTGCCATCATATTGTCACTATATTCAGTTATTGATATTTCAACTGTTTATATTATAATTGAAGGCCACTAGGGAATACTAACGCGATTTATAAAAACTTTTTTTTCGTACATTTGAGTTGATATTGAAATTATGGTTATCATACTTGATCTGAGACAAGTTGTCTTACTTCTTACTACTCGTCTCGAGTGAAAATGATGCTCATTAGTATGTATTTCTATATATAGAAATAACAAATTTTTAGACTTTTATATTAGATATCTAGTAAATGTGTCCATGAATAAGAAATAACAAAGGCCTATTCTGATTGTAGTACCAGTGTAGGAGTAAAAGCTAATTACATGTATCCTATTAGGAAATAGTTAAAGACTAAAAGCCAATGTATCATTGACTCCTATTTTGTCACATATAATATATTTTTACGAATATAAACCACCTACATCAGAAAAGAAAAAAAAGAAATCGACCAACTCTACAAAATTGACTTAACGTTAAACACAAGGAACAAAAATTAAGTAGAGATCAGTGGATTATTAATAACAACAAACAAACAACAATGCAAAAAGATTGATTAGTAAAATCTTCAATCAATGTGGTTAGTATTCTGTTCTTTATATTCAGTCAGGCATTAATAGGTCGCCTACACGGAGAAAAATGTGAGAGGTGTGAATTACTGTTGTATAACACTACATAATTACGCTGATTATTACTATAGACAATAATAAATACTTAATACATCGTTCAAATATCATCATGAATTCATATCAAGTGAGTAAAGAAAAATGAAGAGAAACTTTGTGCCTTGAATTGCTTTTTTTGAACAAACATCATAGTTAAAATATTAATTTATATGATCAATGATAATTGATTAACTCGAAAAGTAGAAGAGCATGAAGTATCCCGTAGTGAAATCCTTTTATGCACACCAGATCAAATCACTATTCCAAGCAGTGCTTCATATATTTACCTAGGTATCTTGAGAAAAATCCGTTTGCTTTTCGTTTTAGTATAAGAATCAAAAGAAGACTTGCTAATGTTGTTTTTCGTATTCAAATGTATGATTTTCGTTCATGTGATGATAGTTATGGTTGTGAGCTATTCCAATTTTCCAGCGTATTCCCATAAAAAGGATTCACAGTAAGTTTATTCATTATTAGTATTTCGCACAGAATCAAGATGTTGTTGAAAAGCAATATATGTCCTCACTCTTTTCTTAAAAAAGATGTATCCAATTAAACAAATTCTCTGTTTAATGGAGCGACTTATTTAACTTACATGTCAATCTAAATGCACCTTTCACTGAAACAAGACTGTCGATGTTACTTATACGACTATTTTTATTTTTTAAGCATGAATATCATCATACCATTTCCTGGCATAGCTCGATTCCTTGGTAGAGATGGTAGTCGAGGACGGTCTACCACTCAAGACACAAATGTCTATTCTACATACTTATGCAGGTATTTATAGAGCTATTAAAACAGTTAAATGATCAACAAAAACAAATGTATTTTCTAGCATTGCACAAGACGCTGATAAAATTACTAAGTTTTTCAATACATTTATGGAAGAATATGGAGAATTGCCGTCTTTTGATATATTTGAATCATGCATAATCAAAAAAAGAGAAAAAAGATCTCTTAAGTAGGTATCATAACACATTGTATATTCGAAATCCTGGATAATATTATAGAAATCTAGTATCTAAATCTAGAGTTCTTATTTTAATGAGTAATATACAACAGAGATGGACAAGTACACACTTTTTCGAGTACGAATACTAGTATTTAGTGGCAAGTACAAGTATGAGTACACGAAAGTTTTACTCGAGTATGTACTCGAGTACACGTTTTTTAAAAAGAGAAAAAAGTTCTTCCGGTTTTGTGACGAGTTATATCGATCAATCCCATTCTCTGATTCTAATCTTTTATTTAAACTGCTAATATACTTGAATATCAACATGAAAATCCACGTTAGAAAACAAACGACTCAATTTAAATTTTTGTTACACTTTAAAATGCAGCAAGCATAATGTTGATGAGGAGAGTTTTGCTCTATGTAGACGCATTATAAATCCACTTTGAGAGAAGATTCTCTATATTGACGCTGATATCGGCAATCCATAGTAGATTATAAAGGCTTTCGACCGATTACTCGAGTACTTTTTCGAGTATTGCTTAAAAAAAGTCACGAGTAGAGTAAATACTCGTACTCGCCCATATCTGATATACAGGACACATTAAACTTTCATGCTAGTAATATAAATACTTATACAAATTCTCAGAAGGAATGTAGCCAGAGGTCCTCTTAACTCTTGAAAGGAACGCAGTAAAATGAATAAAACTTAGCAAAGTCAAAAAAAAAATTTCCGCTTTCGTGCTGTCCTTGAAAAGTTCCTGACCATGTCACTGCTCAGAATCATTCTCTATGCTTGTTTTTCAGAAGATTATGGAAACTAAACAAAGACAGTCATCGAACCACAACCTATCCATCGCAAAACAAAGTAAAAAGGAAAGCAATATAATCTTTTAACGAACTGTAAAGAAAATTATGATTATTTTAGCTTCCTAGCGATGTGTTCACAAACAGAGCGGCAGATAGACCTTGCAAAGGCTTACTCTGTCTAGTTATGCAAAAGTCAGCGAATCAAAATATGCATGAAAGCAACTAAGTTCAGAGGTGTACTGTTTTACACGTCTTTGAATGTAAGCCAATAATTAAAATGTTTGTCTTTATTGTTATAGTTCTTAGACCTACTCGATGCTGTTTCCCATAATGGTATCAGACGATACTTATATGTTTCCAGTATGTAATAGAAAATCTTCATATCCTGCAAAAGCGTACTTCGAAATTCTTTTGAATTTTTCTGGATATTCAGATGTTCTTATTATAAAGAGACTACAAATGTCTATTTTACGCATTTTAGAGAACGAACGTTAATTGAAAGAAAAGACATAAATGGCGATCTTCACTGGAAATGTTTAAAATTAAACAAAAATTAATCTTATTTGGCTCACTTTCTATCAGATAATTAAAAACCATTTATTTTCGTGCTTTTTCTAAAATTGTATACTTGTGTTTTGTTTTGCTGTTACTTTTACTTTACGTTTATACATTTTTATCTTCTTCCCTCTTCTTGACGAAACAATGCATTATTGACAATTAAAAAATCATACACATGTAAAAAAATGTAGTCAAACGTGTTGATGGCACTAACGAGGAAATGCTACAAACTGTGACCGGAGATTTGAATGGCATATATCCTGGTAGAGTTTGATGTGCTGAGTACACTAGTTAATCTACTTAAAGGATCACTTAGTAGCATGCATCCGCTATGAATATGAAAAACTCGACTTGATAATATAATTTTACAACCGTTTTTCTCAGTTACTAGAGACAAAACAGAACTCATTTCTGAAAGAATCAAAAGATACCATGACCGGTTTCGATCTTTCTCAAGGGTCCCGTCAGATGGTTTCCTGCGAGAAAGACAGAGTTAAGACATGATAAGCAGCATAACTCTGTCCACATTGTGTGAGTGTTATTATTCCTTGCTCTCATCGAAAAAGAACGATAATTTCCACACGATGAGAACAACATCGATGACCACCGCACATATTCTGCTCCTCTCCAATAAAGTAGTCCTTTCCATTGTCAGAAATGAGTCATCCTTTAACATAAACTGCATCTAGTAATATTCGCTCAACAAACGTTGAGACAATTGTGCTATTTAAAATCTCGGATCACAGTTTGTAACGTTCCCTCATAAGTATTCTTCGATCTAATATCTTTCTCAATAGCGATAATCCAACCAATTTAATTCTTCCTTTTTCTTTCTTGGATTTTTTTATTGCCGATTAATATATATAACAAACTGTACACAAAAAAAATCATGTTAATCCTATATGAACAATAAAACGCAAAGAGATTTTTTTTCATCTTCTATAACATTCTATTTTTGCTTACAAAGCAAACAATGATTGAAGACCTATATTTTTATGTCACTAGAAAATTTTGCAAAGTAAATGTAACTTATGGAAAAGAAAACTCAGAAATCTTTTCAACCTACTTATCAGATGCAACCATAACGTTCATCATGATTATGATTGTTTCAGAAAATAAAAACAATGTGCCATAACATTGGCTTACCATAGAAAATGATTATCCTAAGAATAGATAATAATCCAACATAAAAAGAGATGAAATAGAATAAGTAAAATATACACACAACACAAAAAATTTTGAGTAAAATCGCCCTCCACTTTTGTTTCTATTTTTTACAAAAACAACACTAAATGCCATCGAAAAGAACAAGGATAGTTTTGAAAAGACCCACTTTTGATGCCTCAAAAATAAGGTGAAATCACGTGAAAAAAGTAGAAAAAGAGAGATAACTGACAATAGATGAGTCAGTCATTTTGGTACACGATCAGGAATTAAAATAACTGAAAACAAGGAAAAACTACCAAAGCAAAAGAGGCAGAGAACACTATATATACACTGAGAGAGCGGACAACAATAAAGTTAAAAATACAAATGAAGGGTGATGAATGTTTTTTTCTTTCCGGTGAACAAACTAAATATCGGATCTTTTGTCTATATACACTACAATTTCACCATCGAGTGTTAACAAAATATACCGCCCTAAGCACGTTCACCACGAATACGACGTGCCAATTGAATATCTTTTGGCATAATCGTGACACGTTTTGCATGAATTGCACATAAATTTGTGTCTTCAAATAAACTGACCAAATAAGCTTCAGATGCTTCCTAAAATAAAACAATTAGAAAACGTATTAAATAACGGTTGCAACTTTACGTTTCTTCATGGCCTACGTAAGTCGCTTAGGCAAGAATGCACCATTTACTATGGCAAGAAAAGATGTTTCATATGCTGATGGGAAAGTGGATCATGCTGCTCCAATTGCACTTTTCCATC